CTTGCAGAAGTTTCCTTTGTGTATGGATATTTCTGCTCTCTAGCAAGGTAGGATCGAATGGTCCCGCAAGCAACACGATTGATAATTCTCCAATCTTCTTCTCCAATAGCATCTGGTCTTTTTTCTTCAATAGCAAGATCTAGCCCTTGTTGAAAAAGGACATCTAGAACCTCGCCTTGCCACATCCCAAAATGTCCGGACCCGTCAAATATTTCTACCGCAAATTTCGCATTTGACACAATTCTTGTCATAAGCGAAGATGCCAATGATGACGTATTGTTGACACTTGATGTAGATTCTTCTTGTTTATTGTCTCCCATCTTTGACACAAATATTATTTAATAGCTGACGACACAAATCAAGATTATTTCCTTTCTGGTGTGGAAGATCAGACTAAGCTGCAACCACAGAGCATACTAAGACAGAACCTTGACTCAGTTACCAAGATAAATCTTTTCTGATGTGGAAGATCAGACTATGCTGCAACCACAGAGCATACTTAGACAGTACCTTGGCTCTGATACCAATTGTTGCGGAAGCCAAATGTATATAGTGTGAATAAGTCACAACTACTATACCAAAAATTATGACAGCCACCAAATAATAAATAAGACAATAAAGCAACAATAAAGGGAACACCAGAATTTACGAGGTTCGGCTAATTTTGCCTACTCCTCGGACACAACCAATATTTTATTTCACTCCAAAAATACAAGTGAAATAATACTAAAGAGAGAAGATACAAATGCCTTAAACAGATGAGAAGGCAAATGAGAGGTGTATTTAAATCCTAAACATTAAGCCTTCTTTTATAGGGGGAAAATCCCCCCAACTTTTGTTTTCCCACCGATGTGGGACAAACATTTTGCCAATTTCAACAACTGTTGCCTGCTAAATTAAGTAAAAGAAGAACTCCCAAGAAAACCTTCATACCATTAATTAAGTTCTCAAGGCATGGTACAGTTCTGCGGTGTATGTTGCTGAATTGTCCACAATTTTTATGTAATGTCATCACCTCCTTTGCCTATCATCACTTAAAATAATATGATCTGTGAGCGCATCAAGTTTAACTGCGATGGGTATTATTAGCAACTGCTATTTTGCTTTCAAATCGAGTCAAATTATTTTATCAAGTGTTATTTTGTGAGAGGAGCTTACTTTCAAACTAAAATAAGATCAGTTGGATTTTCACCTGAACGTTGGCCAGTGTAAAAGGAATTTAAACAATTGCTTTTTTCTCCTCTTATGTTCAACATAATTAATGTGCTTAAATACACCTTTGCCTAGCTGCTCTTTGTCTATTTTGCCCCTCTCTAGGTTTACTAAAAAGCTTTCCCTTGAGGGTTTATTGGTAATTGAATTTGTTCCTTCATTTATATTTGAGACCCATTGTTTCCAGAAGCTGCTACTTCTTCCGTTAAAAACGAACCAACTTCTCTGCTTCTGCTGAATCTGGCAGCAATCAATTTCTGCTCTAATTGCAGTTTGAATTGGTTGCTCCATTGTTGCTTCTACGAACTGCTCTGCGTCCTTTCTTCAGTCCTCACTATTTCTAGAAGCTACTAAATCTGAGGATACTATCGGCATAGCCTGTTAAGGAGTAAAAACGGATTCTTTCTGACAAATAACCCCACCCAGGTTCTCTATTTCTTGCTGATTGTTTGTCCTTATAGTCTGATTTTACTTTAGTTTGGTTGCTTCTACTGCAGTGTTCTTTCCATGAGTTCGTTCGGGCTTTCCCG